TGGCTGTTTGGTAAATCTGTTGCAACAGGTCAGATTCATTGGACTGCGACCCACGGTCATCCGTTGTCAGCTTCCTGTCACATTTTGTGGGCTCAGTAGGTAAATGATGATACTTTATAGTTTGAAGCCGAAACCATTTTCGCTAGATAATTGCTAAGGGTTGTTTTCTTCCTAATATTTGGCATATGCTTAGTTGGGAACATTCCATCTACGTTTTGCTACTTACATTACGGTCGGGTAGCCGTGTTTTTCACAACTATGCTCCCACAAGATGCTAAACCGTCGAATTTGCAGAGGTCGCACTGTGAGTACACAGACGTTGCTGTCCACCTTACCCAGCGCATGTCTCCTCGAAGTCTCTTTTCTACTGCTGACGGATGGCGAAACATCTTAGGCAATCAAGCGGATGTTACACTAGTCATAATGTTGATTAGAACTCTTGAGCCTAATGGGTAGTGTCATATGAAGGAAGATACCTCGGTATCTTGAGTATCATCCTAATCGAAACACAAGGCTGTGTTCGTGCATTGGACTCATCAAAAAATATTATGTACGTTTGATTTTGGTTACTGCCATCTTTGCTTACAGGAAAATGTTATTCCCCACGAACTGGTCGCACTTCCTTTTTCTGTTTACGTAAGCATGGGTTTATTTTTATCAATTTTTTTCAAGGTCACCTTATGTGACACCACCTTCCCCGGTCATTAATAATCGTGTAAAATTCTTTCCTTTATAGCCTGAGGAAGAACCGCCACTCCGCCCACAGTTGGCCAATGCGATCAATATAAGATTCATCATTCTGGATATATCCTCCTGGACTTTCATCGATGTCGTTGGGGCTCATACTCTTCATGATGTAAGTTTCGACACAGTAGTGTTGATGAAAATATAAGTGGTGAACCTGTGCTAAATCCACAGCCATTTTATGCATCTTTTTGATCCATAAGTTTATAGCTTTAGGGGAACTCTCAAGAAACAGTAGAGGCACTCCACAAAGTGTGGACTTCAAAGATACTTCCATCGAAACTCATCACTACTGCCAGGTATGCACTATGTGCAGTGTACAGTACAGCGAGCATTTGAGAATTTCGAATCGTCATATCCGAAGCTTACGAATGTAATGGGTATGATTAATTGCTTAGAACGCAAAAATCAAATTTTGGGAGAGATGCGATTTCATAACAACGTGGTAGGTTCGATAGAGCTCAAACAGTCATGCAGAAAAGAAATGCTTACCGCAAAAGTAATGGCTCTTAACTTAGTTGACATTTTGACAGATAAGTGGAAATGCACGAGTGAAGAACAGAAGAAACTGGATGGGGGAGAAAGAGATGATCGAGTACAGAAGAGTTAGATTTACCTCAAACTCTTTCAAAAAAGCGGGGAATGTTTTCGTTTCAGAGAGGTTTCGTAAACAATCGGTGGATTAGTTGATTGGTTCTGGTTTTCGGTTCCTATGCGCGGACCTCCCACCAAACGCACGTTTTCATATTTTCACGTTTCTGTAAATGCTGTCTGCTTCTGATGATGTTCGTGTAGCCAATATCCTCGATTATGAAGCTTCAATGTTTCGGCGAGATAGGTTCTTAGGTGTTTCCTCTATAAAGACTATTTTATACCATTCATTTGAGAACAGCGCCACAAGAAAAAAGAGAAATCTTGGCTGACTGTTTCTAGTATTCCACAAAGGTTTCAATGTGTCAACACCTTCCAACACAGACACACTGGACAGAAAAGATAGGGACATTGAGATGCAGTTCATCCGAGTCCGAAGAGCATCTCTTGAGCGGCATCAGAGAAACGAAGACAAAGTACTAATTGAATTCATGCAACTCTCTGTACTCTGTCAACATCCGCTTCTCACTGATGCGTACAAGTATTTGTCTGAACTCAGTGTTGTAGTCAGATAATAGGGTTCCAAGCAGTCTGGAGTCATCTTACCAGATTAATCATAATGCGTCTTCTGCGTGTTTTGCTACACCAATCCTTCTGATGGCACCCCAGTGTCTGAAATCCTCTGCCGGAATTGCATTCACCATTGTGTACCATTGTAACGGTGATACTACTGATGGGAAGGCAAGCGAGTAGTATGTGTTGTTCGTAGAATTTCGCTTTGCGTCTATTGAAAAAGGGAGATCTGTTGCGGAATTCGTGGAGGCACTTTGTAACATTTGCTTGGATTTGACCGACGAATGAGTGGAGTCAATGAATCTACAGCAAAGTTCAAAAAGACCCGTTCGGGAGAAGGTCAGTGTCCAGTTTTTGTAACTAAGATGCAGATTACAGTTTTGCTTCCCTGTTCAATGGTCTGTAACCGATCAGTTGGAATTTCCGAATAAATAACTCTGCAGCGAAGGCCTTCTTCCTTTCACCATCAGTCGTGTCAAACAGGTATATCGATGAACGTTGAGCATCGATGGCATGCGACGATCATTACGGATGCATAACCGCGAATAAAGGGCTTGAAGTATTATCAGAACCGTCAATTCAGAGCCTCCGTTCAGGTTGCTTAGAGCCGAGGAATATGCACCGAAATGATAGAAACGTGGCAGTTTGATTACTTCATTGTTATTCCAGTTTAGGACCGCAGGTCTGGACCCGATCCTCGGGCCTGGGTAGCGTGTATCCGATACCCACCAATGCTGTCTCAAGTCAGCCGTCCAAAAGTAAAGTAAATTGTATATTCCGAACCGTTCGCTGTTAAAAAAAATCCTTTTCGTGCATTATTTAGCGTCTCATAAACCAAACCGCAACGTGGCCGAAATTCTCGGGACCACCAAGGATAATCCGTCCCGGTTTTATGTTATTCTTACAAAGTGAGGTTCTCGTGATTCTTTCTGGACCTGACCCGAAACATTCGTATATGACCAGCAAGTAATCTCATCAGCGTTCTTACTGCTAGTTGCAGTTTTTCTAGTATTTAGATAGGTGGCAAGTTTGGGATCGGGATTAATCTTGGAAGATTTAGCGGTGATTTGTAATTCCGCTGAACCCTTGCTCTGTTGAGGTTAGAAATTCCCTTTTTTTCGTACAGATTTTCCGGTAATCGCAGCTTATACCCGAAGACTAAAATTCTCATTTGGACGAAAATGTGGTTAGAGAATGGGACCAGGAACAGAAGTATTCTAAGAATTTGGACAGCTTATTATATATGAATCAGTTGTTTACTGCTACGCTGCGCTCATAAGACCGCAAGAACTTCCGAATCCGAATGAACTTGTAATCGCTCCATGTGTCACATGACCTTCTTGTCCTGAAATGTTGTTTGATTACATGATGCATGAGAAAAGTACATAGTTCGATACAACGCGAGGCTATTGTGCCGTTCATGATGCCTGAACAGGGGCACTCGTTTTGCACATCTAGTTTACTGTTTGATTTAAGAAGATAGAGTGAAAATAGCCTCTTTCAACACGTTCCTGGTCAGGCGACCGTTCCACAGTCTTACCGCCAGTTTTGTTTTTTTCTCGAAGAACTGTAGCTTATTTTTTCAAAACAAAAAAACTAGTCACCCAATCCCTCTGTGTTGGTTATTAGACGGAATGAGTAGAGGAATTTATTAGTGCATCATGTCGACACGATCGCATTTTTCACAACTTGCGGCAGTTGGATCCTACTGGAGATTTAGATGCCGACAAGTGTAATCACAGGAAGATTTGAATACCCACCCAAACAAGATTTTAACAGTGGTAGAACTACCACATGTGCCCGCGATCAGTATATGCATCTTAAATGTATGTATCGACCTAATGATTTTGACATGTCGGTTCGTGAAGGGCATTTTGTGGGGAGTTCTACTGCACTTAATTAACACGTGATTATAGTAACACGAGTTCGCTAACTCCGTTCAGCTGTGCGCCTTTTCCCCTGCTAACAGCCACTCACTGTATTGCGCGTATGTGATATTTTTTCAGATCATTAGAAGCTACAAGTTGATCGATGTTGACCTACTGTTCACCAAATGTCAGCCCCAAGTTCGGAAAACCCTGCACAGTTGTGGCTTATCATCGCATGAGTTTGACAAAATGTGTTTCGTGACTCTTCACGACGCAGTTCTTTATGCCCGTAGCCACTTAGCAGCTCTACCTCCAGTATAGTTCAACAATCTTTGCCGTACATGGATGCTTCAAGTTTTCGTAATTCACCCAAATCACCTCCGAGGTAAGTCATGCTCGTACTTGACACACACTTGTTTCCAGGCTTGAGTAAATGCAGTCGTTAAAAAATCCATTTATCTCCTTCATTTTTAGATGGACTGTCAGAGTATATCCTCCTGACGACTCTTCAACTTCAGCTATTCTGGCTTCAGACACGAGTATTCTTATAGGTTCCTTTTATTGTCTAGTTTTCATCGTCTTAGAGGTATGAACGGCACGTCCTGATCTCTCAGTGACTATTTTTTCGATGAACTACACCACTTTGTGAATGATGTTCACTGTACCTGTTCATTCCGCTCTCGGGCAATATTCGTCACTATTTTTAGCTTCCAGCAGATGTGCGGAATTATCAACGAGCTTTTTTTCGGTTTCACCTCACATTATATCACCTAACCTTTCAGATACGACCTTCTACTGAGCAATGCGAACAACCAAGGCCACAAACGTGCTTTGGGTTGGGCAACAAGGAATTCATGATTTGCAATCATTTGCACGTTAGGCTCTGCTGAATCCCAGCTGTTGTGTGAATGAGTTTAAGCAGTGAACTAAGTTACTCAGGGACCACTGAAAAGCTGAGACCTGCATTGTATTTAAAAAACCATCTGGTTGGGCGCACCATGGGCACACACTTGGATTGTTGGTCCCAGCTATCATTCAGCTTAGCCTATAAGTGGTGGTCGCAGAGGGTAAACTCTAGCGTCGTTTTAGTCTCAAAACTCCGGAACGTTCAGGGTGTTGGGACCTGGTTGTTTGCAAGTTTTTAGATGTGCGGTGGGTGCTGGGTTGTTCGGGTAGATACCGAAGCGGTCATCAATTTGCCACCGTGACCCTCAAATGAAACACAGTATCACCGTCTTTCAGCTCGAGGAGTTTGGTAAACCTCATTCCTGAGGTGGGATTCATTCTAGGCACGTGGCTGACGATGATCGGAACTGTGCAATCGATCACGGTTGAAATAAAATAATACAAATAGTATGGACAAGAACTGCATCGCTGTGTGTGGTTAGTCTACAGCGTGGTCCACTGAGACCATATAAGTGGACCCTCTCCTCCGGAATAGGCAACAGGTGGGAGAGGTGATATAACTTCACACTTATACCTCCCCCGGCTGACTTAGCGTGGGCTCAAGGACGTCCAAATGCCGTTAAATCAAGGTAATTACCAAGTCGGCGATCCTGCACCGCCACTGGAATGGAAAATATACAGTCGATGTCGCGGCCCTGAGC